GCGCATATCAAACGCTTGAGTATGCAAACTTTGATTTATCGATAATAAATATCTTATCATTAATGTAAATAAAAAATTATGGTCACTGCACGTATGGTCACTTCCGAATGGCGTCCCAAATGGAAAAATACAGACAACGATCTCGTATAATCACAAAGTGATCCGGATAAACTTACAAACGACCATTCAAACGACAATTTTTTAAAATACAGAAATAAATCCAAACGATACGAGACATCAAGCTCATAAGTACGTGACTCGACTACAAAAGCAAGGATTAAAGTATAAGAAATCAAATATATATTCCTATTGGCTGATCTTTACAGCTTATACAGTGTTAGATATAGCTGATATACATGTACTACATGACTTTCTACGACACCAATATCGAGAGTTATTAACAGCAAGTGGATCAAAGCGATAATAGGACTTTACCTTATTTTCATTAATTTATAATCATAGTACAGCATTTAATTGCAAGACTTTAAATTGTAATAAAAATTATGTGTGAAAAAAATTATGCATATTAGATCGGAGTTTATGATTAACATCCGTATTTAACAGGCTTAATATACATACATACATACATTATATATATATATATATATATATGTATGGAAATATGCTACTTAATTATCATAGTCACAATATTTATCAACAAAAAGAGATACTAAAAAAAAATAAATTAAAACAAAACAAACAATATCTTCAATTATATTAAAGTAATCCGTTGCTCTGCGCGTTTCGAGTATCCGACACTTACAGTGTCTGTCACATTACTTCAACTAATAAATAAGATAATAGTAAATAATAAAAATCAGAGTCATGGTGGTATCTACCATATATACAATAGTAATTACAGCTATAGATGTAATATCGATAAATATCGATACTTATTAAGAGCATGAAAAATAACGACGTATAAATAAAAAATGTTCAAGATTTTTAATATAGAGGCTCCAATAATTTTTCATGCTTAATTAATAGTTAACATAGATATTGGCAAGATGATTAGCTCCTAAATATTTATATCATATAAGCAAAATAATAAATAAATACCAATAAAACTACAAAATTGTGCTATTCAAATAATAGTTTTTTTTTTTTTTTTTTTATTTTTTTTTTTTTTTATTATTAACATTGAGCTGCGAAGATGTTGCATTAAAAACTTGGAATACCTTAAAAAGTTCTTTTAGATTTTCAGAGCTGCTTTTGATAACGACACACGTTGCATATTCTCTTATATTTGTTCAAGTCAATTCGAAACTTCGTTGAAACGTTTCGTTATGAAAATAAATAGAGAAAAAAAGTTTTAAAGAAAAATGCATTTGAAGCTTTTACTTACAATTCAAACTATATGCGTATAACCTCACTTTTATAACTATTAAATCAATAATGTAAGAATATTTATATAAATTGTAAATATTTATATTATTAAGGATTGTTCTTTCCTAAAAATATCATAGAAAACTTAATTTTACATCTGTTTAAGCTTTACACATAGTATGTTTCCAAATTAAAATTTTTTTTTTTTTTTTTTTTTTTTTTTTAATATATACATGCATATATATATATAAACTTATATAAAAATTATTTTCTTGATAAAAAAATTCAAATTGTTTTATAAAACGTACATAATTTTAAAGCTTTTCTATATTTAAGATCGCAAAAACAGATTTTAAAGAAATTTTATAAGAAAAGAACTTCTCTGAGAAATCGCCTTTTATATGATTTATTTAATGTAATATATAAATCCAGTATTATAGTAAATAATTTGTAACATTTTAATATTTACAAACGTTTTTAATTCTTAAAATACAAAAAATCTACGTCATAAAATTCTTAATGCTTCATTTTATATAATCTCTATATGAGAAAAATATTGAATATCAAGCTATTATTAGCTATTATCAAGCTACGAATCTACGTTCTTTTAGTATTTATTTTACGTCAAAATACGAAATCTCGAGGATTTATTACTTTTTACTATTTGCTATTGTTGTTTGGTTGTAACTATAATTTTTCATATACCTGAATAGAAGTCTATCTAGTGAAAAATCTAATTCGTTACATATATATCATGCTATACTGTATCATTCATCAATTAACAATTTACAATTAAATTGCATTAAACTCATTTAAGTGCTATGTTAATGTGTTACTCTATACAATATTATTATTGAAATAATTTTGTGAAAAAAAAAAAATTAATAAAAATGAACTTCCTTTTCCATAATGTGAGACATTTTGATGAACTTAATAAAAAAAAAAAAAAAAAATAAAAATAAAATACCATATCCAATTAAAATTCATCCACATGTAAATTATATTTATATATTTTTACTGATAATTTGAAATTAAATTTTTTTTCAACCAAGGTAATTATTTAATGACATTTTACTATGAAAGCCGTGTAAGTAAGTTTCAAATATCAAGTACATAACTATAACTAATGTTTCATAAATCTAATAAATATGTCGAAATTTAGCACTCTAATTCAATAATAATGAATAAATTTGCATAATTCTATGTCGAATAAGAACATTTTTTTAAAAAATTTAAAAACCAATTTAAATAATTTAAGAGATATATCCCCGCAAGAAATTTCAATAATATAATATAACACATAAGAAAAGATATATATACAAAATATATTTTAAAAATTATTTAAAATATTTCTTTTTGATAATCAAATGAGAAACATAATCCATATATGACGAAATATATAATTACACGTATACGGCTGACCATACTAGATCACTTCTACTTTTTGCATATATAAATACTTTTTTTTTTAATATTCAATTTATTTTTATGCAATTATTTGTTTAAAGTAAAATTAATAATACATTTATTTAATATATTTTATGATCTTATTAAACCATACCAATTCAATGGGGCACATTCCGTAAATTTATAGTTATGTCGTTTGACTTTACAACAAAGTGAATAGATTTTTTTTATCTGTGATTACAATGTTTGAAGTATTAAATTAAATGTAATAAGACTGGAATGGAAAATATACATTTATTGGAAAGGACTGTATGATATGCAAATGATAAATTTTGTATTTCTCTTCCACATGAACGTCGATGTAGAAATTATAATAAGAAACGAACTGTGTAAATCAACTAATGGTAATTATTTTCAAAATTATTACAAATTTCTCGATAGCCAAGCATTTATTTATTAAAAAAAATGTAAATAAGAAAATAATTTTCAATGGTTATTTAGAGTGTAAAATTTTAATATATACTTTCATTGACATATTTTCTTGTCAAATATTGTAAAATATTAAAAGTCTATATTTTAAATAAATAATTTGGTTATATCATAAATCAATTCAATTTTCGTATTCAATGGAATTTCTAGTAAAGTATGAAAAAATTTTTTTTATTATTATATCATATCTTTATATCGTTCACAGATTTCCGAATTTCTATTATAATTTATTAATGTACATCCTACCTGTTATAAAATCTAATTTTTTTTTTTTTTTTTTTTTTTTTTTTTTTTATTTTAAATAAATTAGAATGGAAAAAATGTTCCTTGAAAAATAATTAAGTTAATACAGAACACAATATATTTATGACAGAAAAAATATTCTTTTAATTAATACTAGTATATTACCAAAAATGTTTATAAATAAAAATATACTATTTTAATCCATTTAAAATCAAATTTTAGGTAATATTAGTTCAAATTGGTTTTTTTAATTGTTAAAAAAAGAATAAGTTTATTGATCGAATTTCATTACATAATGTTATTATTATTTTTAAATTACCAAATTTTTGTTTATAAATTAAAATTTTTCTTTTCACTCTTTATATATTTTACTTTTCACTTTTCACATATTTTATATATATATATTTTTTTTTAATTATCTTAATTAAAAACATTGATAATTTTATTATTTTTAGATTCTAATGATTTTACAATTTTGTATAAGTTCGAGAAAATTAGCAAAAATGATTCTCCAATAATAAGATTAAATTTCATGTAATAATTTCAATTATATTATATACTCGCGCACATCCATTTTCTCAATGACTATCAATGTATGTTAACAAACACTTCAATAAATAATAATTTAAGTTTATAAAAATAAATAATTTGCCTATACTAAAAAATTCTACAGCTGAAATATAATCAAGAAATTTATAATTAGACAATTTAAATATATAATATAACGTGTCATATAAAAGCTTAGCTTAATATATAATTTAATGACATATTCTTTCCTTTTAATAAAATAATAAATATATTATTTATATTTTTAATATATTATTATCATTTATTTACATTAAGCTTATTTTCTTTTTTTCTTTTTTTAATAAAAAATGCAAACACCTCAACGCACAAAATTATTTAATTACGTTAATATAATCGATAAATACGATAACGCTCAGGAGCATTTTAGCGAGCAAATTAAATGTAAATATCAATTGCAATTTTATAATGTAGCCGAAACGACCAAGCAAAACAATTAAAAAGCTCTCCGATCGATTAGAGTACAAACGTGCACTGTCTTTAGAAATATTCTACTTTCGTGAGTAAGCGATGAACTTATCGGGAAAGCCGTGCGAAAGCAGATTGCGCAACAAGTTCAGTAAGATACTTGGTTTTAATGAGGTTTCGTCGACTCATTTTTAAATGCCACTCAATAACAAATAATTCCTCCATCTTTTCTTCTCTATTTTATTTATTTATATTTTTTTTTTTATTTTTTTATTTTTTTTTTTTTTTTTTTTTTTTTTTTTTTTTTTTTTTTTTTTTTTGCAAAGAATAATGGAAAATTATATTTCGTCTCCAGTCCTGCAAACGAAACATATGCCAATCTCTCGATCAACGATTGTCACGATAATGTATATGAGAAGGAACGTCACAACTGTCACACGGCTGCGGCAAGACATAACATTAAAATGATAAAATAATAGAATATAATTAAGAGGAATGGAAGGATATAATGGAGGAAAAAAGAATGCCACGAGTGTCGGTACCTTGTTGAGCCGCCCTCCTGCGGATGCTCTTGTTAGCGCCGGATACCCTCGCACTTTGCGACCGCGTGGCTGGTCTCCGCCTCCTCGTGGGGGTGCTGCTGCTCTCTGGGGTGGCGCTTCCGCTATCCTTTTTGCCGGCGTTTGTCATCCTCGGCTCCCTGCCGTACTTGCCGGCAAGTGGTGGCATCGCACTTAGCATCTGCTCCATGCTCGAGGAACCGGGCGCGCATATCGATGCCGAGCGCGTCTTCCTTCTCAGGCTCTGGTGCTGATGTTGGCTCTCGGCCATCATCCTTGTCTCGCGCTTACTCTTCCTCCGTGTCTCCTTCTCCAACCGGCTCACGCCGACATTTCCGAGTGCGTTAACCGGACCCAGCTCGAGATCTTCCGCTCGAACGTTGCACGAGCTTCAGTTAATGCACTCTCTCGAGGCTTCCCGTCCTTCCTTCATCATTACCGCTCTCGAGGCTTTTCCGGCTCGAAAGCTCCCGCTCGAACAGCGATGCTTTGGCAACGATGGCCTACGCTAGTTTATTGACGAATAAATCTTTATTTGCAATGGGTCTTAACGGGCAAATGTGCTATTGAGCGAAAGGTCCTGCATCGAAGAATAAGCTTCTATTCGAGTTTCAATAGATCGTTTCCTCTCTATTTTCAAACTTTCTTCGATTCGCCATTTCACACGGATCCTACCCAATTGAACATCGTTTCATTTTGCCAGCAGATTCAAATCTGCGTACGTCTCATCTGCATACTCGCACGTGCTTATATTAACTTACGCGCACACGTATCTAAACGTTAATTAGCTGTTGTAATAAATCAAGTATGTCAATTATTGATTATAGAAATTGAAAAGTAAGTTTTTGCACCGTAATTACTCCACCAAACTTATATAGGTTTCAACCATCTTAGAAATAATTTGTAATTTACTTGTAATTTCGTTCAATCTTGTAATGCGTATCATAATTCGATAAAGTTATACGGTAACAGGATGAAAAATTGCTTGTACAATATTTCAAAAAGATTTGTCATTTGATGTTATGTATCAAAAATTAATCGTTACATTGGATAATATTTATATCCATAAATACACGCGCGCGCCCGCGTACACACACGTACGCGCATGTATATGTGCGTGCGTGCGTGCGCGCGTGCGTGTATATTTGTATATAGATATTTTTATATGCTTTCGCTTTCTTCGCGTTTAAGATTTTCTTCGGCGCAACGAAGAAAAAGAAAGAAATATTGGATTTTTGCCAAGCTTCATTCTTCCAGTGAAAATTTCGTACTGTCATTCGTTGATGACTGATCGAGCGCGGGATCAATCTACTGATACGTAACCGCAATCCCGCAAAGCTCTCACGCGCCTTTTTCTACTCCTTACCATTTACAAATCTTTAAAAAAAAATGCATTCTTTCTTACGATATATTTCCTTTTTTCTTTATATATTATTATGTTACAATGTATGTCGCAATGGCTTATTATTATGAACGTCTATATGTGTTATGTTGTGTCATTGCTCAGCGCATATTAACGTTCCCACATCATATATTTAACTTTTACGAATTCATTCCATTCTCTTTGATTATTCGATTTTCTTACTCCCTTCTGTCGCACACCCTCCCCCTCTCACTCTACTTGTCTGTCTATCTGTCTGTCTGTCTGTCTGTCTGTTTCTCTCTCTCTCTCTCTCTCTCTCTCTCTCTCTCTCTCTCCCTCCCTCCCTCCTTCCCTCCCGCTCACAATACCTATATCTATCTCTCTTACCGTTTACCCAAAGCCTCCGTCTCTCACTTGTTCACGACACCGCGCGGTTTTATTTTTACGCGCTCGACCATGTGCAGCGTATCCGTTTTCTGTCTCCTCTCCCCCCCCCCCCTCCCTCCCACCATTATTCTTATTCTTTATATTGGAGTTTAGGGACGATAATGCCTACGCTTCGAATTCCATGAGTTTATTTCGTAAATGTATGTAACTATTATGATCTATCCGCGTCAATAAAAATCATTAGTCTATAAACTTCTTGGCTTTGACATAACGGACGAGGCATTAATTAATGCGCCGAAAAAACTTTTGCTTATTAAAAAACGAAAAAAATCACGCACACTGCTATATTTTTTAGGTTAGGTTGCGCTGCTATCTCTGCTTTACTGCGTTCTTTTATAAAAAGACAGCCGGTCCCACGCTCTCTTTATGCGCAGGGTTATTTTCGGCCACACTGCTGACGCCGCAATGTGTGATTTGTGATTGTTTCCGCGGAGTCGTGGACGGGCGTCCACCGACGGCGGCGATTCCGCGAAGGCGGGTTTATAATTGTGATTCCTATTCGTCTATTTTCGAACACTGTTGGCTTTTACGAGCACCTGGCTTTTCCTACGAAAATGAAGAATGAAAAGAAGAAGAAGAAGGAAAAGAAGAAGAAGAAGAAGAAGAAGAAGAAGTAGAAGAAGAAGAAGAAGAAGAAGAAGAAGATGATGATGATGATGATGATGATGATGAAAGAAGAAGGAGAAGAAAGAAGAAGAAGAATAAGAAGAAAACGAAGAAGAAGTAGAAGAAGAAGAAGAAGAAGAAGAAGTAGAGAAGGAAGAATAGAAGAAGGAGGAGAAGGAAGAAGAAAAAGCGTTGACCTAATCCGCAGGTTACTTACGAATTTTCAAATTCGAAAATCGCTCTTTTTGAAAGTCATTAAAGCCCTAGAGCAATTATAGCTATATATTCGAAAAATTGCAGGTCCACTAATTCCACTTTCCCATACCAATTTAAATCATCACTTCGCGACTGTGCAACCTTAATCACGATTTATACGGTGTCAAAAACTCGAGGTGAGATAGTTTTAGGTTAGGTGAAATGAAAAGCAAAAAAGGCGTAAAACAAGAGTTTTTAAATTGTGTGCAAAGATTCGCAAAACGACGCGATCACTACTATACACTCATTACCCTGCAAAAACAAAAAAGAAAACAACGAAGCACTTGGAGTACCGATAGAGACACCCGGACGGGCTTCCGTTTCGCGAGGTACTGATCAGAGAGCGACGCCCGGCTAAACGCGGTAGAGCAACCAGTCGCCTTCTGTCTTTGTTTCTGCCGCTCTAACGGCGTCGTCGGCGTCGCGATGCCGTGCGCAGCTTTCGCTATACACTCACCCCTCCCACACCACTCAGCACTTCCCTTTGCTCTCGTTCACTCGTTTGCTCTCTTTTTAACATATTTCCTCTCTTTATCCAGCTCTATTTGGTTACCCATAGTTTGGCTTTACCTTCGAATGTTCTACCGTCACGTTCATTATCTCTACTTTATGCTCCATCTGTCTTCATTATATTTTTTATCTATTGTTTATCTGAATTGTCGAGCAGAATGAGAGAGGATTTCAAATGATATATTATTGCGTATTATTAAATCTCGTGTTTTTAGGCGATTTTTATAATAAATTTATAATTATCAAAATTTAGAAACAAAAAATGATATAATACAGAAGCTAATATCCATTTACAATTTTATAGCTATGCCAGTGAATAGAAATTTTCATTTATGAAGAATTATAAGCGTAATAAAAGATTTAAGAATTAAAGAATTTTATCATATTTATATGCATGCCATAATGCCTAATTACATCGTCGAAAATGAAAGAACGTTACATGTGTTATCGAATAATTAAAAATTTCACAACTATAACGAATAACTCCGATTAATCGATACAACTGCATCTTCGACATAACAGATGATAAATACAAATTTTACATTATCTAAATTATTAATTATCTAACAATGATAAAAGTATAATCATCCATGTAAACAGTATTAAAAATAACTATAAATGTATTAGAAATCAAATATAAAAATTCAAAGCGTTTACCTAATTATCTCGTCCATTAGAGCGTTTCTTTCCACTTCTTTAAAGTATAGAAAAAAATTTTCTGCATTAAACGTACGATAGAGGACGAATATTTTGCATAAATTAATTATTATATCTCAGCTTGTACGTATTGAAACCGAAAAAATGGGAATATATGCCAAGAAAATTAAAATTTTTATCTCTGCTTCGCAATTATCCTAATAATTAATTAATGATCTTATTAAAATAAAAAAATTAACAAAATTATAAATTAAAGATTGTTTTATGAGAATCGAGTAATGCTATTACGCTATTCAATATTTTATTTTATACATTTTATTTTATATTGTATATAAAATTTTTTATAAAATATAATATTTTACACGTGAAAGTAGATTATTACATAATTTCCACATAAACTTAAATAGCGACGAAAAATATTGAAAAGTATATAGCAGAATTATGTTTATACATGCCAATATTAAATACTATAATATAATATTATATAATATATAATATATATAATAATATAATATTAAATACATAAATATATGTAAAATACTTTATTTTGTATTACAAGATTGGAATACATTATTTAATATATATTTTGCATGTATTATCGTATAAGGAATACATAATTTTGAATTCCTATTAAAATTGTTAAATTGATATTGTAGAAAGTACATACGCATAGTAATTACATATTATAGTTTATTATAAACCGATAATATTAATTTATTATTTGGACATGATTGAACGTATAATTGAAAAGATGGTAAACCGATTCATTGTAAAAAAATTTTAGGTACATTAAGTGATTTGCAAATAATCTTTCATTGATTCAGGCAAATTTTTCATTTATTATAAACGAGACGAGTGAAACTTGAAAATGATATATCAACTGACATTTTCACAACTATTGACTGGTTTCCATTTATCACGTCATTATCGAAATATCGATAATTAATATTTATTGATTCCTACTCGTAAAATGACTCCTCATCAGTCGAAAAATAACAAACTTTATAGTAGTCTGGTATAAAAATATTTTACTATTATTCACAAAATTTAATTATTCAAAATTCAATGGCAATTCTTATAAAATATATAGTCACGTAAAATTCTAAAAATAAAATAATTAATTTTTTTAATGCTTTATTTGTTTTATCATTGAAACACCATTTCATTAGACATTTATTGATCATAGATTTTGCTTCATAAATTTTATTCAAATAAAATTTTTCAAATCCAACAGCCATATAGTTATTTTATATAATATTTAATATAATACAATATCTTATCTCGAATTATTTAAAACTTTATATTACTATATTTTGTTTTACATTTCCTTGCGAATAAAATAATTTCCTTTAAACAAAAACAAAAAACAAAAACAAAAAAATATATGTATATATATATATATATATATATATATATATATATATATATATATATATAATCACTTTTTATATTAATGTTTATCACGAAATCCAGCTTCATTTATTTCTTATTATTTTTATTTACAATTATCTATCGTATACATTTTTATTACCACTCGCATTATAATCTTATATATTTATTCTTATTTGACCCAAATACAATTAATAAAATATACGAAAGTTAAAGGCCAGTAAGATATGGGTAATCTCTATGTCGAGGAAATATAAAAGATCTTGATTAAAAACAATACGAACATTTTGAAATTT